TTCCAACTCAGACACTCTTTGGTGGCCCAAGGGTCTGTAGGGACACCCTTGGAGCTCAGCAGTGGGACGTGGCCATAATGGGGACCAAATGTCAGAGGCAGTCCTGCAAAGCTGCGCTCTGTCTGCAGACAAATGATGCTGCATGGCCCTGCTGTTCACTGCCCCTTGCTCCCCAGCTCCAAACTTGCTGGGAAGCTCCTCTCCAGGAGGTCAACCCTAGCCTGTATGGCTGAAGGCAATTTTTCCTCCCCCTTCCTATATTTCCTCCTGTTGCAATTCATCACGTTCTCGTCTGCCCAACTGACCGTTCTGTGCACATCTTGTTGAATGGCAGCACAAATTTCTGGTATGTCAGCCACTCCTCCCAGCATTGTGCTTGTTGAGGGTGCACTTTATCCCTTCATCCAGGTCACTCATGAAGACGTTGAACAAGATTGGACCCCTGGGAAACACTGCTAGTTACAGGCCTCCAATCAGATTCTGAACCAATAATCACAACCCTCTGAGCTCTGCCAGTCAATCAGATCACAATCCACCTCACTGTTCTCTCACACTTCCTAGGAATGATTAATTGGGATCATTTTCCTGGCTGGGTGGCCTCTAGCAGACTCTCACCTTCCTGCCTTGCCCCTTAAGCCTTATTTGGAGTCTCACAGCCACGTCACTGGGAACAGCAAGCTCCATGCATTCCAGCCCACCATTACATACAGCAACACCATCCTGTTTCACCTGCCCTGCCTATCCTGGAGAGCCCGGAGCCATCCAGTGCACACAGCATGCATTTCATAGAACCTTTCCCATCACACCTTGCTTATGCTGATGACGTTGTAACTCCAGGACCAAGCTAAAAGCTTCTAGCTCCTCCTGCTTACACCTCATACTGTGTGCAATGCTATAGAAACATTTATAATGTGCTCCAGTCTGCCCAACTCCATGTGGAGCAGATCCAGATGCCTCGTCAACATGCTGTGCCTCCAACTTTGGATGGACACCAAGACCGGAAAAACAATAATGCATAACAACCATGCAGATGGAGACCTGGAGAGCTGCTTGTTTACTGGGGAGCTCTGTATGTGAGGCTGCACCAGTTCCGGGCTGTGCAGAGGTCGCATGTTACAGAGAGGACATACATTTCTGCTGGGTGAATACAACTGCTGGTTGAACTGGCTGAGTGACAAAGCCCTCCCTGCACAACCTCCTATGTTAGGAATGGAGATGGGGCCTTGTGCCAAACATGCCTTCCCCCAGAAGCATGCAGGGATCTGGAGTCTGACCTCCTTCCACCTTCCCCAGTCCTTCAACGCTTTGTCTTTTATTGGAGAAAGTAGGGCCAGAGCATAATGAAAACAAAAGCTCCAGGACAACTCAGCTACTTTATTCTCCTTCCCTGTCCCCTTTCACGCTGCACAGAAAGGCCATTTGCCACAGAAGGGATGCAGTGATCAGGAGGATGAGGAGCAGGGCAAACCAAGCTTAACTTCCAAGGCTGGTCTCTTCCACATGACTTGTCGGAGGTCTAACACAAGGATGAAGGGATTGGCTGGTTGCTCTGTGAAAGCTTGCAGGTAGGATGACCTCTTCTGAATGCAGGTCTTCTTTTCTAAATCTCCAAGAGACATTTGACTGCTCTCCTGACCCTTCTACATGATTCATCAGTGGACTCCAAAATTACTGAGAAGAACACGTGCACACAGGACATCCCTACACAGCTGAACTTCCGTAAGAAATGGCTTCAAAAAGCTGCTTACAGGAAGAGCAGAAAACTGGGCATGGGGAGAGATTTTATTCTATTAACAGGGAAAGAAACCACCAGAAGCTCCCAGGTATAAGTCCCTTTTCCAGACAGAGTGCCAGTGATGCCACTTCTTTTTTTCAAACTCTTTCTGTATGGTGGGAAGCGTTTGGGTTTCCATGATCCTTAGGTCTCTATCATCCTCAGGATCTCTCCAGTGGGGGTTTTCCCATGAGCAAAGAGGTGCCAGCCCTCAAAGAAACTCCTCCTGCAGGTGAGACACTTGCAGGGTCTACCTCTCACACAGATTAGCCAACTGCCAATAATGTTGCAGCCCCTGGATGAAACTCTGTCTTTCCAGGTCTCTGCCCTGAATGGATTCTCCGGTACTCAGTCTGGAGCTGTGGTAGAAGCTCTTCTTACATTTGGGACAGAGAGAAAGATCCCACTTGGATGCAGTGGCAAGGAGCCTCAGGAGACCCGAGGCTCACCTCTTGAGTTGAGCATGCAGGGGGTCTGAAGAGTGCTACACTCCAACTGAAAAGGAAATCTTGGCCACATACGGGGGGGCTTGGACCTCTTCCGAAGTAGTTAGTATTGAAATGCAGCTCCTTCTGGCACCTCGACTGCCAGTGCTGAACTGGATGTTTAAAGGAAAGGTTCCCTCCATCCATCATGCTACTGATGCCACTTGGACTAAGTGGACTGCATTGATTACACAGCGAGCTCAAATGGGGAACCTCAGCCGTCCAGGAATCCTAGAGGTGATCATGGACTGACGTGAAGACAAAAAGTCTGGAACATCACCAGCAGAAGAGGTACTGCGTGCTAGAGACCCCATCATCCAATGAACTACCAGAAAATGAAAGTAGCCGTTCTCTGACGGATGGTATCATATTGCTGGGAAGCACTGCAGATGGAAAGCTGCTGTGCGGAGCCCTATGTGACAAGTTGCAGAGGCCACCAAAGGAAAAGGAGAATCAAGCCAATTTGCAGAGGTAGAGGCTGTTCAACTGGCCTTAGATGTTGCTGGACGGGAGAGGTGGCCAATGATTTATAGTGACTCACGGATAGCGGCAAATGCCTGATGGGGGTGGTTAAAGCAGTGGGAACAAAAGAATTGATAAAGAAGGGGTACATCTATTTGAACTGCCGAACTGTGGAAAGACGTTGTTGCCCAAATAAAGAATATGGTTGTAAAGGTGTGTCACATAGATGCTCACGTGCCCAAGAACTGGGCTACTGAAGAACAACAAAATAACCATCAGGTAGATTAAGCCTCTAAACTTAAGGTGGCTCAAATGGACTTGAACTGGCAACACAAGGGTTCATTATTTCTAGCTCGGAGGGGACGCTTGGCAGGTTGAGTCGACCACCTTGCCATGACCTCCCAGCAGGAAGCGTTATGTACTCACCATGGTGGAGGCAACCACTGGGTGGCTTGAAACATACACACACCCCATGCTACTGCCCAGAACACCATATTAGGTCTGGAGAAACAAGTCCTGTGGCAGCATGGCACTCCAGAAAGGATTGAATCAGATAATGGGTCTCGTTTCCAAAATTCTCTTGTAAATACTTGGGCCAAAGATCATGGCATTGAGTGGATTTATCATATCTCCTATCATGCACCAGCTTCTGGTACAATCAAATGATACGTCTTGTTAAAAACTGTGTGGAAAGCAACGGGTGGCAGAACATTTGAGCACTGGGAGAAGCACTTGGCAGAAGCCACGTGCTTGGTCAACACTCAAGGATCGGTCAATCGCGATGGTCCTACCCAATCCAGCTCCCTACATAACATACAGGGAGATAAAGTCCCTGTAGTACATATAAAGAGCATCTTGGGAAAAGCACTGTGGGTCCTCCCAGCCTCTGGAAAGGGCAAAACTCACAGTGGAACTGTTTTTGCTCAGCGTGATGCAGAAAGAGGGGATGTTCAATGTGCACCACAAGGGAATCTGACGTTGGGCGAGTGTATTCAGTCATTCCACGTGTGTATACATGTGTGTGTGTGTAATACAATTATTACAACGTTAATAGCATGTTGATACATGCTAACTGAGAATAATCTGTATGTATTCAGATATTGAGCATGATATAGGAATGTGGAATAAGGGATGGAGTGTCAGTTTTACGATGTTTTGTTACCAGTACTCCACACCATTGCATCCAGGCTGGATGTGGCACTGGGCAGCCCGGTCTAATGGTTGGCGCCCTGCCCATGGCAGAGGCTTGAAAATGCATACCTTTGAGGTCCTTCTCAACCCAGGCCATTCTATGATTCTGTGATTGTGTGTAGTGCTTTGGGATTTACAGTTACTGCTCTGGGTAGCTGGTTCTGAGAAGAACTACATGCCCCAGGGGACTTCGTGTTTCCATTCACAGACCAGAGGTAAAGATAAAAACTGTTTGCACATCACAAGATGTCTCTTTTTTCACTTTCTGCTCGTCCTGGCAGCATGTGTGCTCACCTTCAGCATTACAGCAAGACCTTCAGCTTTCGAACACTCTCTCTCTCTCTCTCACTTTTATTTGATTTATTAACTCCAATCCAATTAGATTGTACTATATTGTGTTATCTTGCGTTCTGATATATTTTCTAGTAAACGATCTTTCCTCTTCAGATCACTGCCACTGTTTTGATGTCAGGCCCGTCTACCCATCCTTTTCCCTTTTCCTCCTTCCCCTTTTTCCCTTTCCCATTTTCCCTTTTCTGGGGCATGGATCCGTGGATCCTCCTCCTTCACCAGTCACAGAACCGGGCCAAACCACGTCACAAACTGCTGACATGTGCTTAAAGGGTCTCTCTCCTGTGTGGATGCATGGGTGGCAGGTGAGGTAGAAACTAGTTCTGAAGCTCTCTGGACACTCGGGACACTTGAAGGGTCTCTCCCCTGTGTGGATGCGCTGGTGGCGCTTCAATACAGAATTGTATTTGAAGCTCATCTCACACTCACGACACTTAAAGGGTCTCTGTCCTCTGTGGATGCGCTGGTGGCAGGCGAGCTGGCAATTGATTTTGAAGCTCTTTGAACAATCAGGACATGTAAAGGGTCTCTTTTCTGTGTGGATGCGTGTGGTGCTGTAATTGATAAGCAAATTTGAAGCCCTTCCCACACTCAGAGCACTGAAAGGGTCTCACTGCCGTGTGCATTCGCTGGTGACACTGCAGTACAAAACTGTACTTGAAGTGCTTCCCACACTCACAACACTTGAAGGGTTTCTCTCCTGTGTGGATGTGCTGATGGCAGGTGAGGTGGAAGCTGTTTTTGAAGCTCTCTGGACACTCAGGACACTCTCCTGTGGGGTCTCTCTCCTGTGTGGATGCGCTGGTGGCACTGCAGTACAGAGCTGTATTTGAAGCCCTTCCCACACTCGCAGTGCTTTATGTGCCTCTCTCCTCTGCGTATGCACTGGTGGCCAGTGAGGTGGGAATTGGTTTTAAAGCTCCTTGGACAATCAGGGCACTTGAAGGGTCTCTCCTCTGTGTGGATGCACTGGTGGCAGGTGAGGGGGAAGCTGTTCTTGAAGCTCTTTGGACACTCAGAACACCTAAAGGATCTCTCTCCTCTGTGGATGTGCTGATGGAAGGCGAGGTGGGATTTCCATTTGAAGCTTTTTGTACAATCTGAACACTTGTACAATCTCTTCATTGAGCGTACACAACAGCGGTTAAAAAGGCTGGAATTCCTTTTCAGGCTGTTCCCACACTCAGCACTTGGGTTCTGCCTTTTCTCCTGGCACACTTCCTTACTCCTTGCATCTTCACGCTGTTTTTGACCTGTGCTGCAGTCCAGCAGATTCCTCACAGTCTCTCCTGGAGGGTTTCCCTGTTGCTTCTTGACGTGCTCTGCTTGTTTCAGATCCCCTTGGATATCCTTTCTGATTTCTTCCACCAAGACACTTCCACACTGCCTTTCAGTCACGTCACAATTCTGTACACCCTCCTGAACAGTTGTGATTCCATGTCCTGCTGGATGACAGAGAAAAGCCAGAAATAACACATTAGGCCTAAACTATTTCTCAGACAAAGATGGTTCTTGGCAGCCCAACCTCCTCCTGTCCCCCACCATCTCACCTGGGCTGAGATCTCCTGCCATGTCCTCCAGGACATGCACATCTGGGTCCCAGGGGTCTTCCTCTCCTTCAAGGAGGGAGACCACCATAGGTTTGGGGGCTGGACACGGAGGTTAAATACAGAAGCAGAGGACGTGAAAGCATTCCTATGATTCTGGCACAGCTGCTTCTCCAACAACTCCACTCAGTGTCCCTCCCAACTTCTGTAGCCACAATAAGGGCCTGGATGACACTGGGCCAACACATACTGGCTTGCTTTGAAGCCCAACATGACCTCTACGTATCTGAAAATTATGCAGGAACCGTTTCTCTAATGTTCACCTTAGGATTTCTTTTTTTGAATTGTATCCAAACTGCTTAGTGCCCAAGGCTTCATAAAGGTTTGCAATACTGCAATGGAAAAGGGAAAAAAAAGGCAAATAACCAGAGTTGTCAGGTTGCTGGAGCACGGCGGCACAATGCAACGCAGCAATATGCAACACAGCAACACAAAGACAGTTTGCAGGAGCTGATCCAACCCCTCCCAGCTGATAGCTGCTTGCCAGCAGTGACTCTGGATCATTTCTCAGAGTTCTAAGCAGCTAATCCTTCCTGAAACATATGAGAAACTTACCTACATTTTGTTTCTGGTGCTGCTGCGTTACTCCCCAAGTAACTACATTGCAATTATTCTAAGCCCTGCTTGCAGTGTGGTTCTACACAGCCAAAGGAGCCCCAACAAGGACGAAAGGCAGCAAAGCCCTCACCCAGCGAGGCCACGCACGCGTACGTCTCCAGCATCACGTCCCGGTACAGCACTCGCTGCACAGGGTCCAGCAGCGCCCACTCCTCCCTGCTGAAATACACGGCCACCTCCGCAAAGCTCACGGGCTCCTGCAAGCAAAGAGGCTCCTTGCTGGGAACTGCCACGGCGCAGGGAAGCAGCTGGCAGAGAAGAGAAAGGCACCTCCCTCTCCCCATGCATTCACATCCCTCACTTGCTTGCTTCCCCACACTCCTACCTGAGGTGGATGCGGTGTGGCCATTTGTTGCTCTCCCGCAGACTGCGACAGTCACAGGTGAAAGGCAGGAGTTTCACTGGAGCCTGCTGGGACTAAAGAATTGGCAGGGTAGGTGTGAGGGAATGCTGCTGTCCCTAGAATCATACAATCATAGAATCGCAAGGTTGGAAACCACCTACAAGATCATCTAATGCAACCCCCCTCCCATTCCTGTTAGTAACACGAGCTACTAAACCGTATCTCATAGCTCCTCATCCAGGCACCTCTTGAACACTGCCAGGAATGGCGACTCCACCACTTCCCTGGGCAGCCATTGCAATGCCTGACCGCCCTCTGAGAGAAAAAGTTTCTCCTAATGTTCAACCTCAACCTCCTCTGCTACAACTTCTGGCCATTTCCTCGGGTCCTGCTGTTTGCCTGGGAGAAGAGGCCGGACCCTTTTGCACCACAACCTCCCTTCAGGAAGTTGTAGAGTGCCATGAGGTCTCCCCTGAGCCTCTTCCAGAGGCTCTTCTCCAGACTGAACATTCCCAGCTCCCTCAGCCGCTCCTCATAAGGTTTGTGCTCCAGACCCCTCACCATTTCGTTGCCCTTCTCTGGACACATTCCAGGGCCTCAATGTCTTTCTTGCAGTGAGGGGCCCAAAACTGGACACAGCACTCGAGGTGCGGCCTCACCAGTGCTGAGTACAGGGGGATGATCACCTCCCTGCTCCTGCTGCCACACCATTCCTAATGCAGGCCAGGATGCCGTCGGCCCTTTTGGCCACCTGGGCGCACTGTGGGCTCACGTTCAGCCCAGCACCAACCAACGCCCCCAGGTCCCTTTCCTCTTCACACTCACAGCCACTCATCCCCAAGCCTGTAACGCTGCATGGGGTTGTTGTGCAGATCGACACCACCTTCCAACTTGGTGCCATCTGCAAACTTACTCAGGGTGCCCTCAATGCCTTCATCTAAGTCGTCAATGAAGATATGAAACAGGATGGGCCCCAGTACTGACCCCTGGGGGACACCACTTGAAACAGGTCTCCAGCTGGACTTCACTCCATTGACCACCACCCGTTGAGCACAGCCCTCCAGCCAGTTCCTTATCCAACGGAGGGTAAAACTGTCCAAGCCACGGGCGGCCAGTTTCCACAGAAAGATACTGTGAGAGACCGTGTCAAAGGCTTTGCTGAAGTCTAGGTAGACAACATCAACTGCCTTTCCCTCATCTACCAGCCTGGTCACCCAGTCGTAGAAAGAGATGAGGTTGGTCAAACACGACCTGCCTTTCATGAACCCATGCTGGCTGAGCCTGATCCTGTGGACGTCACGCACGAGCCGTGTGATCTCTCCCAGGAGGATTTGTTCCACGACCTTCCCTGGCACTGATGCCAGGCTGATAGGCCTGTAGTTTCCAGGATCCTCTTTATGGCCCTTCTTGTAGATGGGAGTCACATCAGCAAGCCTCCAAGCCTCCCTGTCCAAGAACAGCCCTCCCCAGCCCTTTTGGGAGTAAATGATGCCCAGGACTCAGACCAGCAGTACTGCACCCATCTCCAATCTTGTCAAGTTACTATTAAATCACTACCAAGTATCTTCATTATATCAATGAATATATTCCTATTTCTCCCCTAAGAGTACATATTGTAGTTGTATCATATTGTAGCTCCTCATCCAGATGCCTCTTCAACACTGCCAGGGACGGTGACTCCACCACCTCCACGGACAGCCATTCCAGTGCCTGACCGCCCTCTGAGAGAAAAAGTTTTTCCTTATGTTTAATCTAAACCTCCTCTGGTACAACTTGTGGCCATTTCCTTGGGTCCTGCTGCCTGGGAAAAGAGGCCAAAGCCCTCCTCATCACAACCTCCCTCCAGGAAGCTGTGGAGTGCACTGAGGACTCCCCTGAGCCTCCTCTTCTCCAGACTAAACAATCCCAGCTCCCTCAGCCGCTCCTCATAAGACTTGAAGTCTTTCTTATAGTGAGGGGCCCAAAATTGAACACAGTACTCAAGGTACTCACCAGAGTTGAGCACAGGAGGACGATCACCTCCCTGCTCCTGCTGGCCACACTATTTCTGATGCAAGCCAGGATGGCATCAGACCTCTTGGCCACCCGAGCACACTGCTGGCTCCCGTTCAGCCAAGCATCAGCCAACACCCCCAGGTCCCTTTCCTCTTCGCAGTCATTCGGCTACTCAGCCCCAAGCCTGTAGCGCTGCATATTTTATTATGTGGTTATTGTGGCCAAAATGCAGGACCCGGCACTTGGCCTTGTTGAACCTCATCGCACTCACCTCAGCCCAGCGATCCAGCTTATCTGGACCCTTCTGAAGGGCCTCCCTACCCCCACGCAGATCCACACTACCTACGAACTTGGTGCCATCTGCAAACTTGCTGAGGGCGCACTCAAATCCCTCAATCAGGTCATCAATAAAGATATGAAACAAGTTGGACCCCAGTACCGACCCCTGGAAAGGAAGAGCTGCGGAAGACAGAGAAGAAGGACTCTGCGCCACAGCCGGGCACCGCGGGGGCGGCACGAAGAAGCCGAAGCGACCGACGTACCAAACGGCCACCGTCCCTGCAGGAACTGCGAGATGAGGGAGCGAATCTCAGCCGTCAGCCGGGCGTCACTTCGTCCACGGAGACAGCGGACATGCGAGAAGCGCGGCGGGGCGCGACTTCCATTCGAACGACCGCTTCCCAACGCTCCGCTCCGCGCCGGCTGCGCGGCGCCGCTCCGTGACGTCACCAAGTTCCGGCGCGCGATGATGACATCACATCGGGCTTGGAGCGGAAAGCGCTGTGCAGACGGGGAAGAGTGGCGGTGGGTGAGTGGCGTCGCGTCCATGGCTGTGGCGCAGAGCCGTGGGGCGGTGGGTGCCGGGCCGGGGGGGCGCGGGGCCGCAGCAGCTCTGCAGCAACTCTGCGTGGGGGCGGCTGAGAGCCGGGGATGCGGCCCGGACCGGGCTGCGCTGCGCTGCGCCCCTTCCTGTCCCGTCCCATGGGGAGGAGCGTTCCCCAGCGCTGCGGGAAGCGGGGGGAGAGGCTGCGGTGCAGCACTCTTTGCTTACTGCAAACTTTGCGCCTTTACCACTGACACTGGCTTGGCAGCGTTCGTAGCAGTGTCACAGAATCACTAAATTACCAAGGTTGGAAAAGACCTACGAGGTCATCCACTCCAACCATCCACCCGTCAGCAATAGTTCTCCCTAAACCGTGTCCCTTAGCACAACGTCCAAACGTTCCTTGAACACCCCCAGGGTCGGTGACTCCACCGCCTCCCTGGGCAGCCCGTTGCAATGCCTGACCACTCTAGAGAAGTAGTATTTACTAACTCCAGACTGAATCTCCCCTGGCGCAGCTTGAATCCATGCCCTCTGGTCCTATCACAAGTTACAAGAGGGAAGAGACCAACCCCCAGCTCACTACAACCTCCCTTCAGGTAGTTATAGAGAGCAGTGAGCTCTGCCCTGAGCTCCTCTTCTCCAGGCTGAACATTCCCAGCTCCTTCAGCTGCTCCTCATCAGCCCTGTGCTCCAGACCCCTCACAGCTTTGTCGCCCTTTTTGAACCCACTCCAGGGCCTCAATGTCTTTCTTGCAATCAGGGGCCCAAATCTGAGCACAGTACTTGAGGTGCAGCCTCACCAGAGCTGAGTACAGGGGGACAATCACTTCCCTGTTCCTGCTGGCCACACTATTTATGATGCAAGCTAGGATGCCATTGGCCTTCTTGGCTACCTGGGCACACTGCTGGCTCACGTTCAGGCTCGTGTTCATATTAAACGTTTGCAAATTCCAGTTGTGAGAAATAACTGATTTTTCACAGACTGGCTTTGTTGTGAAAAAGTTTTAATTCACGATTGCAGTGGTGGGCATCCTGCTAACAGGAGCATGATCGAAAATACATCACAGCCTTATATCCCTGATCCACCAACGCCAAGAATTCCTTCCCTTTCTAGGCTAACTACTCCAGAATCTGCGTGAGGCTTCGACGCTTATTATTGTATCTGCATCCTAATCCCACCAACCTTTAATCTCTCCCTCATTCTCACCTTGTAATTTGTTATCTCTCGATTATCGTGTTTGTCCCCTCCATCCATTTTCCTTATCCTGAGGGCATAGCCCCTCCCCCCCTTATCTGCTTCTCCGTTTATTATCCAAGGCTGGAGGAAGGAAACACAATTTTAACTCTCACGCAGAGAATTACCAAAGATAATGGCTTCGTAAAACTTACTACACTACAAATGTTATGGACAGACGTGAGGTCAGAGAGCACTTGGTGCAAATACCCAAATAACCCAGGACTGTATCTTTTTTATTTTACTGCCATTGCAATGCCAGCCATCCCACAAGCAGCAGCACACACAGAAAGCAGCATTACAGCTTTTATGCCCTACTACCCAATGCTGATCTCTTCCTCCTCATTGGCTGAGTGCTTGAGGTTCACATATGTTCCTGAGGCTCAGCTAAACACATCCATACCTGATGAACATAAATTGTTGCTATCTAAGCATGTATACTACTAATTGTTCTGCTTCTTCTCCTTCAATTCTCTATCACTCAGGTCTTGTCTATCCAGCACCAACAATTAGTAGCCTTCCAACATAACGAGCCCATTGATATCCTTGTCACACCGATTAGGAGTGCGACTTACATCTTCAGCTCAAGGCTCAGAGCTGTTCCAGAAGGCTGCACAGACCAGAGCTGCAGCCTTTGTACCAACATATCACTCCATGTATCTTATCTCTGTGACTATAAATTACTTCACCTATCTGCTGAGCGTGCCAAGACTCTCAGAGACCCCCAGTGAAGTCAAAGGCTCTCCTGAAAAGAACTGTTGGTGAAATATTTATCTTGTTAGTTCTAATGCAGAAACAACTTCCCGGTCCTACAATTTCCCCCTTTTCTTCTTTATACATTGTTGATTTCTGCAATTTTTTTTCTCAGGTATTGTTTTATTGACATCTTCCTCTTCTTTACTTTCTTAATTACCCATCTCCCCTAATATCATAATTTCATCCAAATATGGTGGCAGCTCAATTGGCGTTTGCTTCAGTTGCTCTCTTGACCAGTCACTCTACCAGCCCCCTCACACAGGGGATAACACAGCAACCAGGGGTTGCTGTCAGGGTTCCTGCTACTATAATCAGAGAAGTAAACATGGATACATACAGCCCTTTCCATTTACCAAACCAGGACTTCAACCATCCGTTGACAGAAGTATCTTTTCCTGATTATTCATCAGCAAGGGTGGTAGGCCCTTGCAGGGCCTTAGTTATTCTGCCATCTGGAGCTGTGTTACTAGGGATGAAGGTGCAACAGTGGCTACCTAGCATTACACACGCACCCCCTTTTTCAGCTAACATCATATCTAGTCTGATCCTATTTTCTCAGGCCATCCTACTTGTGGCACCTAACTGTTCCTCAGTTCCCCTTATCGCACCCTTTGTATAGTTTATAAGTTGCTGTTAATTATAATGGATGTAGTTAATTCAATCTACATTGATCTCATTGATCAACATCCACCATGTTCTCATTGATCAGCATCCACCAAAGCAGTGACTCAAACTCTGCAACAGTTTGATTTCTCGCCTTATGTTCATCAGGGACTCCAAGAAGTGGAGAGTTAAAACTGTCAGCTTGCCCACAAACTGAGGAATTACTGATACTAATTTGCTTTGCAATGTTTTTCACAAGAGATACGTAAGTATTTGCATCAAAAGCCACACTTAACAAATTAGTATTTCTAACCATTAGAAGAGCCCGTATTTACTGTCTTTGGATTTGCAGGATTTGGATCCAGCTGTCTTCAATTCCCATCATGTTCGAGGGACCTTCTTGCCTCTACTATGATGTATCCACAGTGGTTGTTCTTTAATTTTGATCTTAAATTTTTAATCCTGACTGTTGTTTGGGACGTTGGCAGCGCCTGGAACAGACCTTGGTTCCAGGGGTGAACCTGAAAGAGATCTAATATATATACACACAATCTCCTGGAAAAATATTATGGATTGAGCCACCAAGGCTTCAGGATCCAGTTCCTAGAACCAGTTTGTTTCCCTAAGCTATTTCTGTAGACCTATGACACGTTCAGTTAGTATTTCACTCCCTACCTGGGTAGAGAGTGGTAGGGAGTATTTCACTCCCTACCTTTTGCACAACAAAAGGCCTTTTGTACTGATTTTGTGTTTTGTATTTTGAAAGGACGCAATCCCTCTTTGGCTCTAGATCTCGTTCTGATCCTCAGGAGAGCCAAAGCTAATGACTGTGGCCGATACAGTCCAGGCTCCTGGCCCTGTGGTTTAATCAGGTGGTTCATCTTTTCCATCTGACCACTTGTCTGTGGTCTGTGCAGTGTGTGCAGTTGCCAATCTATTCCCAATAGCTTGCTGATCACTGCAATAAAGTGAGTTTCCCTGTCAGAGGACATCACTGCAGGAACCGCAAACCTTGGAATCATTTTCTGCAGCAATACCTTGGTTGCTTCTTTGGCTTCATTAGTCCTGCAGGGGAATGCTTCTGGCCACCCTGAAAAGGTATTGGTTAGAACTAGCATATAACCAAAGCCTCCTTATTCCTGGCAGTTCCAATAAATGAAATGAAATGAAATGAAATGAAATGAAATGAAATGAAATGAA